AGATCAAACCCTGAAACAACCTCTGGGCTGATCTAAGTCAGGGCATGGCTAACTCATAGATCAAACCCTGAAACAACCTCTGGGCTGATGAAAGTCAGGGCATGGCTAACTCACAGATCAAACCCTGAAACAACCTCTGGGCTGCTGAAAGTCAGGGCATGGCTAACTCACCGATCAAATTGGAATTTAGCACGTTTTGTGGAGGAAGGAAAACCAGAGAACCCAGAAAAAAACCCTTGAATCAAATGAAAAACATAATAAACTCTACTCACATGTGATAGTGAATCCAGGAATCAAACCATAGACCCCAGGGGTAAGATGGGAGTGCACTGCAACTATGCAGCACTTGATTCTTACATGTAGATTGAAGCCTGCCTCTGACATCATTATCCGATTTTGCAATAAAAGGTCATCAGATAAAAAATTAATGTTCTTCTGTTTATCAGAAGACAATGTGTTCATTTGTATGATAATTTTCCTTTAAGGTGCCAGGTCTGCCCATTCCAATTGAGAACATGATCCTGCGTTATGTCAAGGCCAAAGCAGATTGGTGGACCAACACRGCTCACTACAACAGGGAGCGTATTCGCCGTGGAGCGACAGTAGACAAGACTGTGTGTAAGAAGAATCTGGGTAGACTGACCAGGTTGTACCTGAAGGCTGAACAAGAGAGACAGCACAACTACTTGAAGGTAAAAGACAACAGCAAATTTTACCTCGTAGAGTGTGGACTATATGACCTGGAAAGAATGTTAAATTCGTACCAATAATACAAAAAAGTTAGATTGTCTGTTACTCTAGTTTGTATTGGATCCCATCTTTACATCTGTAAGTATATTGAGATATTGCACGATGTCATTTAATTATTTTTACATGTTTTTATTTTCATAGGATGGTCCATACATCTCAGCAGAAGAAGCTGTAGCCATCTACACCACCACGGTCCATTGGCTGGAGAGCAGGAGGTTCTCTCCCATCCCCTTCCCTCCACTCTCCTACAAACATGACACCAAGCTGCTGATCCTAGCCCTAGAGAGACTCAAGGAGGCATACAGGTCTGTTGAAGAATGTTACTCTCTGAATCTCTGACTAGTATACTGTTATCTGATTGGTCAGTTTTATTCAAGTGGTCCCGGTTAGTGTGTCCGCACACTACGGTTAGTGTGTCCGCACACTATATATTCTTTAGTGCCTCGTTCGTGGAAAACGTATCAATGCTGAGACATTATAGTAATTTTCTTGTAGAAATCTGTCTAACATATAGTTGTATTTTAGTGTGAAGAGTCGACTGAACCAGTCTCAACGAGAAGAACTTGGTTTGATTGAACAGGCCTATGATAACCCTCACGAGGCACTCAGCAGAATCAAGCGTCATCTCCTCACACAGAGAGCTTTCAAAGAGGTAGGTTGCCTGAATCAAATTTGACAAAGTAAAGTTAATTGAAGAACTCAAGTTTTCAGCCGTCTCGGCTATTATCAGGGTTAGCGTAACTGTTAACAAAATAATATTAGTCTTTAAAACTTTGGCTAAAAATTCGTTTAGATCTTTCAAAGTTATCAGACAGACATCTTATATTCTTAAAGACTGAAATGATTTATAAACCAAGTTGCAAGCTCTGAGGTGAACAGCGGTTGGATGAATAATTGTTTGATTTTTATCCCACAGGTTGGTATTGAGTTCATGGATCTTTACAGYCATCTCATACCTGTCTATGATGTGGAACCACTAGAGAAGATAACAGATGCCTACCTGGATCAATATCTTTGGTATGAGGCAGACAAGCGCAGGTTATTCCCCCCTTGGATCAARCCATCAGACACAGAACCACCTCCGTTACTAGTCTATAAATGGTGTCAAGGTTAGTTTCCCCCCAAGATACAAAAATAAACATGGTTTATTAGACTTCAGATTTCTAGAGATGTTAGAATCAGATGTAATGTAACCGATTGGCCTATAAGTGCAATTCGAGGTTTACCTAAGAAGAATTGAATTTTCCTCTAGGTATCAACAACTTGCAAGACGTGTGGGAAACATCAGAAGGAGAATGTAACGTGATGATGGAATCCAAGTTTGAGAAGCTCTATGAGAAGATTGACTTGACGCTGCTCAACAGACTGTTGCGTCTGATTGTCGATCATAATATTGCTGATTACATGACAGCTAAGAACAATGTGGTCATCAACTACAAGGTATGGACAGTAAAACAGTATAACTCTTTCAACAGCCATAGAAAGTCCGTTCCTATCCGGTCCCTTCTGTGAGTGCTGCCATGTGAAAATCCCTTGAAATATAAATAACAATGAAAAAACGACCATGTTGATTGATCTAATGAGAGAAACTAACAAGGAATGCTTCGTTATCGACAACTAAGATGGCAGCTATGATGTAACATGCACATGCTCTACTAACCCTTGGTTATTAACAAAAGATGTTTGTGCCCAAGCTAGACCAAAATGCACCATGTTCGCTATCTCAGAAAAGGTAGAAGATGGCTTGACAACCCACCACGATTCACGTTTTCCAGAAGTAACCATTTTTTCTCTTGGTCTTTTCTCTCACAGGATATGAACCATACTAATTCCTATGGAATCATCCGTGGTCTTCAGTTTGCATCATTCATTGTCCAGTATTACGGTCTTGTACTGGATTTACTTGTGCTGGGTCTACAGCGAGCTAGTGAGATGGCTGGTCCACCACAGATGCCTAATGATTTCTTAACATTCCAAGATGTAGATACTGAATCTCGGCATCCAATCAGGCTGTACTCTCGTTACATTGACAGGATACATGTGTTCTTCAGGTGAGYTCATTTTGAGCAAATTTCCCTTTAGTATGGATAACATGAGATAATATCTAACAGGCTTTTTGTGACATTTGAAAAAGCTCTCATTCATTGATGGAAGAAGGGAACTTGGCTGATTGAAATCCAGCAATTCTGTTGACTTTTATTCATTTAGCGTGATACATAAACGATGTACGAATTTGTAATAAGTTCACATTGCTTTGTAAAGGTTCACAGCAGAAGAGGCTCGTGATCTGATCCAGCGCTACCTCACAGAACATCCTGACCCTAACAACGAGAACATTGTGGGTTACAACAACAAGAAATGCTGGCCACGTGATGCACGAATGCGCCTCATGAAGCATGATGTCAACCTTGGTCGTGCMGTGTTCTGGGACATCAAGAATCGTCTTCCGCGGTCTGTCAGTACATTACTATGGGAGAACAGCTTTGTGTCTGTGTATAGTAAGGATAACCCTAACCTGCTGTTCAATATGAGTGGATTTGAGTGTCGTATTCTGCCCAAGTGTCGCACAACCTTTGAGGAGTTCACACACAAGGATGGTGTATGGAACTTGCAAAACGAAGTGAGTACGAAAAATGTATTTTGGACCATGCTATTACAAGAACTCTAAAGATAGCAACACTGATGATAAAAACCTTCTTCTTTTGTGTCTGCCTTTGGAAGTTTTATTTTGAGCACAGTTTTGATCATGTGTTATATAAAATCTCCATGTACTAATAGCAGTTATTATGGATGCATGCAAATGAGATGCAAATGCAACAACAAGCATTGTATCGCACCAATAGCCTCACTTTTATGATTCTTAAAACAAAAGATTTTTCTTTGAGGGCTCAACTGTAATAACAGCTATTTTCTCTTTTTCGTGAGATAAAGTGTATTGTCTAGGATGAAAACGAGGAGAGGAAAGAGGAAAGAAAAAATAGGAAGGGGAAGAAGGGAAGGAAGGAAGGAAGGCCTGCAGTGCAAGAGGTCTATTTCAAACATTAACAAATTTCCATCTATTTATCAGGTTACCAAGGAGCGAACAGCCCAGTGTTTCTTACGTGTAGATAACGAGTCACTAGGGCGTTTCCATAATCGTGTCCGTCAGATCCTCATGGCGTCAGGATCAACTACATTCACCAAGATCGTCAACAAGTGGAACACAGCACTGATTGGATTGATGACGTACTTCAGAGAAGCTGTTGTCAATACCCAGGAACTGCTAGACTTACTGGTCAAGTGCGAAAACAAGGTAAGAATAAAACTCTTGAATCCTCTATAATCATGTTTTCTAGCTCTATAAGACTATCCAGCTGATCTAAGACAAAATATTACCCTACCATAATGGAGAAATTTCCAAAACGTACGTCACTTTTCCTCTTGAAATTATGGATTTCCAGGCTACCAAATGAAAAAAACGTTGCTAATAAAGGGGTTGAAAGTGACACAATAACTGAGTTCTATATTTTTATTGCAGTAGTGGACAGGTTTTTATTTTTTGCTGCTTAATTTTCACAGGCTTCATGAGACCTCAGTTTTGCTGTACGTCATTTCTACGCCATTATTTTCGATCAGCTGGGTTATTTATGGAACCAACTCTTTCTTTTCATTGATTGACGAGAGGTTTAAGAGAATAATGTACTTCAGTTGATCTAAATGTTCGCAAAATTTAAATTACATTCTTTGTTCCAGATCCAAACCCGTATCAAGATTGGTCTAAACTCTAAGATGCCCAGTCGTTTCCCCCCAGTAGTGTTCTATACACCCAAAGAATTGGGTGGCTTGGGTATGTTGTCTATGGGTCACGTACTCATCCCACAGTCTGACCTCAGGTAGGTATTCCATGGTGCAATATGCTACTACAATGGACAGGGCAGAAAAACGGGTTTGGGCCTTTCGCCATAAGGACAGCTTTACGTATTTAAGCTCAATATTTCGTAAACACGTTCTTTTGGAGCCAAATAGCAAAATATCAAATGCAACCAAAATTTATTGAATGCCTATTTGAGATATAAAGCCATTTTGACATTTTCGTGAATACTAAGTAGGTTTACTCTTTGAATTCGACAACGTTTCGTCACAAGTTTCAAGCAGCAGTGACACAAATGAAACGCTTAAAAATTTGGAGTATTAAACTCAGTTAAATAAAAAAATCTTGAAAGTTAGTGGGCTTGTTGTTTTTCTGCCCTATCACTACAAAAAACTTGTCATCGCTTATCACCACCGCAAGTATACAGCAGTGGCGCAGCTCAACGAGGCCGAACTGAAAGCATGTAAAGGCGCCTCTGGCTGCCGCTAGACAGCCCATGTATGACCCCGGAGCACAACTCTAACCAGTTTGAATTAGTTCGGATTGATTTGTAGTTGTTTATTCACTAATACAAGGAAATGCTGCTTCGTTGCAGATGGTCACAGCAGACAGACGTAGGTATCACTCATTTCCGGTCCGGTATGAGTCACGATGAAGATCAATTGATCCCTAACTTGTACAGGTAGGAAGGTAACTTAGATACCAAATAAAATCCTAAAATAAAGGGAAGCAAAAATCAGCTTTAGAATTCAATCCAGTCATGGAACGAGAGCCACAGGGTTGTAACCTTCGTAAAACAAAAACAATTAATACATTGATTGACCATTGCTCTAATTATACTACTTCATAGATTAATACTTTTTGTACTATATACAGGTACATCCAGCCTTGGGAGAGCGAGTTTATTGATTCTCAGAGAGTCTGGGCTGAGTATGCGCTTAAACGTCAAGAAGCTAACGCCCAAAACAGGTCAGTTTGCTGAAGCTCAGAATGTGCCAGTGCTGGAACACGCCATTTTCACATACTGCGAATTTATTTATTTTTCAGACGTTTGACCCTAGAGGATCTTGAGGACTCTTGGGATCGTGGTATTCCTCGTATCAATACACTGTTCCAGAAAGACAGACATACTCTTGCTTACGACAAGGGATGGAGAGTTAGAACKGATTTCAAACAATATCAGGTACCAAAATCTAGACATAAGATACCTTACCTAGGAATCAGGCGCAGAAACATCCCCGCAAACACGGAGAAACACTCAGCATTAATGAAATTCAAAGTGGCGGCTATTCCAGCCAGAACTTCGTTATGATGCTTTAATAAATGTCTAAAGTTTGACGGAAAAAGCCTGACGTCGAACTGCAGTTTAGCAAGAACATCGTGCTAAAGGTTTCTATTGTCTTACATCTTTACGTCAAATAATAGAGGTAACACGGCGCGGTATACCTGTGGAAAAAGACAACTATCTAACTATCAAGTGYTGTGTTGTTTAGGTCTTGAAGCAGAATCCATTCTGGTGGACACACCAGCGCCACGACGGTAAGCTATGGAACCTGAACAACTACCGCACAGACATGATCCAAGCTCTAGGAGGTGTGGAAGGAATCCTGGAACACACGCTGTTCAAGGGGACCTACTTCCCCACGTGGGAGGGTCTGTTCTGGGAGAAGGCTAGTGGTTTTGAGGAATCCATGAAGTAAAGTACAAGAAGCTGACGAATGCACAGAGATCTGGTTTGAATCAGACGATTCACTCTCTGGTGGTCACCTACTATCAACA